AGAGAGAGAGAGAGAGAGAGGGCGCAGACGGACAGACAGAGGAATAAGAAAAAGAAAGGGAGGGAGGGAGGAAGGGAGGGAGATGACAGAGAGGGTAGAGACTACTAGAAAGGGTGAAGGAGAAAAAAGGGGGTAAAGCTTTAATAAATACTCTCTGATCTCGTTTATTTGGCACAAAAACCCTCTATTTTATCAACTAGTCGTGTTTACGAGTGGAGATTAGACAAATGTGTAAGCAGTAAGCGCACTTTACAGACAATAGAAAAGTGCTGTTCCAGTAAAATTCATTTACAGTCAATTAAAATGTCGTATTACTCCCCACCGCTCTGTTGTTCGCCTCCGATCTCGTAATGGGTCCAAACAAACTACTATTTGCTTAGCCTTGCCTGAAATCAGAAGGACAAATCAGAAGTAAACGTTCCAGAGAAGACTTGTCTGATTGATTGAAAACCAATGCCTTTATCACTGATTCCCGAATTTCAATGTTTCTCAGTAGCCGACCATGGGAAAATCATTAAAATTTATCACATCCAGTGAGCCAGCTTTGGAAATTGTGATGAAAGCCCTTATAAAAACGCGTCGATTAGGAAGTAGGTGGGCTACCCTGTTGTTTTCACAAAGACTCTTGCATTATCAATGCCATTTGTTACCCCAAGAGACGTTCCATGCAGTGTGTTTTTATTGGACGGATTTTTATGTTGTTGTTGTTTTGGGCGGGGTTTTTTGTGTGTTTTTTTCGGAAAGCGGAAAGGGGGGGGGTGGAGGTAGTAGGGCGGAGCTGAGGGAAATATATTTACCTTTCTTTAACATTTTTATTTAATGAGAGAACGGATTCAGGAATACCATCAGCTAAGTTGAAATCATGCTGAACTATAATGTCGATGGCTCTGGTTCAAATCTCCAAAGGGGGGGGGGGGGTTGAACTTGGATTTTGGGAGAGTTTTCAAGGCTCTCAGCCTACTTGAGGTCCTGCTTGAGATACACGTAAAATTTGGAGATCAAGCCTTCTAGATAATCTTACAGTTCTGCATAGTGTTGCACCTATATCCTGCGACATACTATTACATGAATAGTGTCGTAATAACATATCTCTAGTGATAGGCTAAACTATTTCGAGCCTCTTTTATTGAATACACACAGGTAATGTCAACTCTTATGCATGTGTATCGTCTCTGGGAATTGCACCTTCGTTCTCCCTTCTTTCTTCTCCTTCCCTCTGGGCAAAGTGCCTCTACTTTGAAATATCCTTTGGAAGCTGGTTGACCTTACCTAAAATGTCTATAAGAAAAATTGGTCTGTGTGTACAAAAAGCTTTCGAACAGAACAGAGAGCTTTATGTTCCTGTCAGAAATACACGTCTGAAGGAAAATAGAACGTTTCCAGTTCGAATTCACGGAATGCGTGCAGTATCTATAACTTGCATCGAAGTGTAAACATAGTTCGATGAAAAGTAGAGAAGAAAACAATAAGTATTCAAAAGAGCTAGATGAAGACACATCTAGATTTATTCTGCTTCTTCCCCCTCTTGCTTCAGATGCATGCTGCGAGACATGACCTCCAGACCGTGCAAACTCATGGCGTCACGATACAAGACCTCACCCAGGTTAGCTTTTTATTGTTTTGTGAGTGGGTGATTGGCGGGTGGTCTGATGATGTGCTTGGCTCCTTCTTTTCTATCAAACATCTATGGTCCGCTTCTCTCCTTTTTTAAAAAATGTTACTCTCTTGTAGCTTAATATATACTTCTAATCCTCGACATTTATATGGCCTAATTTTGTTGCAACTGCCATACAACTCTTACTTAGAGTGATCATTGATTGGTTTATGCTTATCTATACATCGTGGTTTGGGATTCTGTCTTACAAGGTTGGCTCTCAGAGTCAGGGGCAAAATAGTTCGCAAATTATCTCGAATGTGTCGATATTGGTGTAATATATTAACTCACACATGTTATCTCTTTACGTCCTCAGCTGCAGTTGTTCCTTGCCAAGTTGAATGGGCCTAGCATGGGGTTTACCGTACTAGGCATGGTCACCGTCACAAAGGAGTTAATGCTAACGGTACGAACGGTTCGTTCATGGATGTGTGGCGGCAGGCTCGTATCATCACTCTCCTATAATACTTTATCAATGGCACTGGTATCCTTATATAAATGTTATTAAATTTGTAGCTCTGTAAAAATCTATGTGGGCTCTCGTGGTCGAGAGGTTACGGTGTTCACGTCTCATTCAATTTAGGATGACCTAAATAAGCTAAACCCCCTCCCTTATCTTATTTAGGCCACATCATATGGTAGATTTCTTGACCATGGGTTCGGAAGGTCGAGATTCTACTGATCTTTTTATTTAGAGCGGGGGGATTATTTCAAAATAGAGGATGACACTGAATGAAAA